AGACATCGCTTTGCCAACAAAGGTCCGTCTAGTCAAGGCTATGGCTTTTCCAGTAGTCATGTGTGGATGTGAGAGTTGGACTATAAAGAAAGCTGAGTGCCGAAGAATTGATGCTTTTGAACTGTGGTGCTGGAGAAGACTCTTGAGAGTACCTTGGACTGCAAGGAGATCCAACCAGTCCATCCTAAAGGAGATCAGTCCTGGGTATTCATTGGAAGGACTGATGCTGAAGCTGAAACTCCAATACTTTGGCCACCTCATGCGAAGAACTGACTCATCTGAAGAGACCCTGATGCTGGGAAAGATTGAAGGCAGGAGGAGAAGGGGATGACAGAGGATGAGATGGTTGGATGGCATCAGCGACTCAATGGACATGGGTTTGGGTGGACTCCGGGAGTTGGTGATGGACAGGGAGGCCTGGCGTGCTGTGGTTCATGGGGTTGCAAACAGTCGGACATGACTGAGGGACTGAACTGAACTGAACTGAGCCACAAAGATCCAGCACAGCCAAAATAAGTAAATAATAAATAAGCTTTAAAAATTAACAAAAGATTAAAGAAGAAAGAATATTCAGACTTCATTCTGTTGTGTCACAGCCTCAATTACCTCCAGATGTCAACGTTTATTGTGAACATGTAGTAATAAAAACAGTACGATTGTGATGTAGGAATAGACCAACATAGGAATGGGGCAGGGAGACCTAAAACAGGCTCCTGTGTGTGTTGATGGAATACAGAGCTGGCCCTATGGATCAGCTGGCAGAGGGTGGTCATTCAATAGATGGTTTGGGGATGTTAGATTTTCCATGTGAAATAAAAATACAACACATCTCAACACACATCAATAGAAACTCCGGGTCAATTAAAGACAGAAACAAGAAATGCACAATCCTGAAGCTTTCAGAATTCAACATAATATCTTTACCACTTCTGGGAATGGAATGAGATCTTAAACAAGGCATAGGAGGTGCAAATTACACTTGAAAATCAAAGTATTAAACTTGTGCCCCCAAATTTAAAGCTTGAAAATATAAAGCTGATCAGAAGTATGAATTTCAGTGTATACAGCCAATGTTATAGGGCTTCCCCAATTGCTCAGTTGGCAAAGGATCTGCCTGCAATGCAGGGGACCCTGGTTCAATTCCTGGGTCAGGAAGATTCACTGGAGAAGGGACAGGTTACCCACTCCCATAATCCTGGGCTTCCCTCGTGGCTCAGCCAATGTTACAGAATGCAAATAATTCTTCTAAAATTAAAAAAAGTGGGAAACAGTGAGATTAGAAAGCAGTAACTAGGATGCTTCTATTCTTCCATTCACATTTTATTTCTAAAGAAAGTCATGTAAACAAGTACAGACAACCAAGCACTGGGTGCCAACATGTTCATTATTCTCTAGACTTCTGTCTGAAACAATACACTGAAAAAGGGGGAAATTTAAAATATAGACTCAAGGATGTGGGGATTATTAGCTGTAGATCTTAAGATAGCTAGAGTCATGACACCCATATTCCCAGGGTTCATTGTTTATTTCTTCTAGAACAGTCTAGTGAGTTGACCTGGCTTTTCCTTAAGCACCTTCCAGGTGAGCATCTTGCTTATAGTGAAGCGGGTCTTGAGCATCCTTCTGCTGAGGACCTCCCGCCTCGTGCCCCATGAACTGGCTTCTGGTCAACAAACAGCACTGGATTCCATTTCCTGATGGGTCACAGAAGCTCTGAATCCACCCCTGTGAGGCGGGCAGCTGGCCGTCTCTCCGGGATTCCCCGGGCTCCCCCGCACCTCTTTCCCAGCGATCCTGACCCCTTCTGTGGGCTCTGCAGGCACCCAGCCCCTCGCGCCCAGGGCGGTGGAAGACGGCCCTGCGCCCGCCTCCCTCCCTGTCCTGTGGTAGAGCGTGATGGGAGCTCTGGGTACTTAGCCCTTATTTATGACCATGGACTGCGGGAACTCAATGACACATAAATCTCAGATTATGAAGTCACAGCTCTGCATACTCCTGGCTCAAAATGGTCCTTGGGATAAAGTTAGCAGGGAAGCAAGCAGAGAGGCACTTTCCAGGTGCCAAAGCCTTTGTGTGGGTCTTTCTATCTAAGACTACTAAGACTGGGAGGTGCACTCATCCTTGAATAAATGAATGAATCAGTGAATGAAGCTGTCTGCAAAAGCATGGGTTGTTCTCCATGTGTTTACAGGAGAAAAACAGGGCTTGAAGCAATGTTGTCCCTTGTTGGAGGTCACAAAGGCCCAAGGGCCTGGTGCAAAAGTCAAGGATACTCGTGGGGACAAGCCTGGTGCTGGCCGTGGTCACTCAGAGCTTTCCCTTCTCTGGCCTCCAACTCTACGTGTCCTGGAGATAATCTCATGAGTGTCCCCAAGAGGCTCTCTGCCGGCCCCTAAGTGCCCCCAAATCTTCCCCGTCTTCCTCCTGTTCTCCACCAGGACCTCGGGCAGGCTCCGTTTTCTACCCTGGACTCGGTCTATCCTTTCTCCTTCCTGCCAGCTTTCTGATTGCTCCCTGTTTTCTAGCCATCCTCTCTCCTCCTGCCTGAAATCAGCTTTGCTTTCCTCATCCCTTCTCCTGTCCCCCTGGCTGCCCTGGGTGGGGGCTGGAAGCCTGGCTGCGGGAGGTGCTGGGCTGGGCTGCTCCCCACCGCCCCCGCCGCACCCCTGCACCCAGCAGCTCCCCCCAGCCCCCACCCTGCCGTGGCTGGGCTCCCTGCCTCCGCTGCCCGAGGCTCCCGGCTCCTCTGCGGGCTCGGACCCCTTCCTCTCCTGTCCCAGCAGCAAGGAACTGCCCGTGGTGGAAGGAGGGAGCTCAGATGAGGGACAGGTCTCTGGACAGGGCTTGGGTCCTGCCTCTGGCCCTGACTGGTGACCCTGAACAAGTGATATCCTCACTGAGGTTCAGTCCTGGTGGTCCTTTGCAAGTTTGCTGAATTGTCCCTAAAGGGTCTGCTCCTGTGTTCTTCCGGGGCCCCAGTGAGCTGCCACGTGCTCACTCACTTGGGCATCGTTCTTGGTTTTGTCTCCTGGTCATCCTGCTGCTGTTTCCCAGCGCCAGTGGGGTTTAGGACACTGTAGCCCCTCCCATGTCCGAGTCCCGTCTGGGTCTCCCCTTCTCCTGGGTCTCCCTGGGTCTCCCCTTCAGCCACCATCTGCTGCAGGCACGCGCTGTTCTCCTTGTGGGAGAAAACTAGAGCTGGGCTGTAAAGTGGTAAAAACAAATTTTACTCAGGAATTATTGTAAGAGGAGAAACGAGACCTGAACAGGGTTCGATTCCTACAACTGAAAGGAAAGGTAGGGACGCACTGCCCAGGGCAGGCCGCTGCAGCTGGACACTGAGTCAGATGGTTGGCTCATCCTTCGCTGGGCAGGTAAAGGGGGCCAGACCTCACCTGGGGGTGGGGTGGGTGGGACAAGGACTTCAGTCAGGTACTGAGGATGACCAGAGGCCGCCGGGAGGGCGGTGGAGGAGAGGAAACCGACTAGAGAGGCTCAGCCTGCCAAAAGGGGGCGGCGCCAAGCCCACAAATGGAGACGAGCTGAGACGAGCGTTCAGAGGAGATGGCATCAGCTGGTCAAGGAGGGTGTCCCGTCACCCCCGCAGTGGTCATCTCTCCTCTTTCTACTGTTTGGAAGACATCAAACCTGGTTCCCTCTTCCCTGGGACGTGGATGTGGCAGGTCCTCGTGACCAGGACACACCATCCTTTGAAGAGGGAGCATCCTGCAGGCATCTGGCTGTCTGGTGACATCTCCGCCCGCCTGTCTTGGTGCACCTGTGCGTCCCCTCCAGGCCCTTCTCCAGAATCAGAGTCGCTGCCCTGGACCACGAGCTCAGGCCAGGCCCTGGATTGTTGAAGGCTTGGTCCCTGGGTCCAGTCGGTGAGACGAGCCACGGCCGACCCCTGCACACCTTCCACTCCCAGGGAGGTGCGGCCCAAGGCCAGCGCTCCTGGGAGGGCGGGAACACTGGGGGCAGCTGGAAAAGTGGGGGTGGGGGTGGTACCGTCCAGGAGCCCCTCCTCCTCCCACGCTGGGCCTGTCCTTCCCGCACTGCGCCCTGGGCCCCCTGCCCGTCCTCGTGCGGGTCCATGTGGTTCTGCATGTCCTCCCTACCTCCTGCTGGGACTCATATCAGAGACCAAGCTGGTGAGAACCCAGTCCCCCGGCCCCCACTTCCCTGCATCCCTTCATGTTCAAACCACGGAAGGGTGGGAATCAGCTCCTCCCCCCAGCTGAGGGCCCTGCCATCCAGGAGGGGGTGCTTGGGGAGGGAGTCCCTGTGAGGGGCTTGGTGCTGGCTCTACTCGTGGTCCCGTCAGTGCTACCATCCCTAGCCACCCCTGCCTCCCCAAAGCTCACCATCAGTACTCCCAGGATGGAATCCTGATTGCTTTTCTCTCTTCTCTGGGGTGCCCCCAGCACAGCGCGTGCCAGAACAAGTCCTGTCGGGACCCAGGAGAAGTTTCCCACTGTTCCCAGCATCCCCGTGGCCCATAGCTCAGGCATTTGCTCAAAATCACAAATGGCCACCAATGCTGTGAAGGTGTCTTTATGACAAAGACTGGGGGCCACTGCTCCGGGGGGAGCACCAGCCTTTAGGGGCTCGCAGACTCCTCACAGGGCTGGACCAGTTGGGGGAGCGGGGACCCCGGGATGTGGTAGATGGACTCTTCCTTCCCCCATAAGGGAGCAGGTGGATTCAGCAGGACAGGTGCTCACAGAGCTGATTCAGATCCTGCATGTGTTTGCTGCCTCCCGGAGCCCCCCAACAGGCATTTTGCAGATCTATTATTTGTAAAAGCATTCACCTGCACCTGCCTGTTCCAGTTAATCTTGGAGAGCATACGAGGTGGCCGTGACTGTCCCCATTTGACACATGAGGAACGCATGGGCTCAGAAGGATGGATGCTCTGCCTGGGGTTACACAGCCCAGGAAAGCCGGGCTGCAGGTCATCTCCTGCTATTTTTTTCCTCTTTTATGCTGGTCTTTTGCAGGGAATTCACCACAATTTCTGCCTCAGGGAATAAACTGCTGCCTGAAGCAAGGTTCTTTGGAAGAGGGATCTGGGGGTGCCTGGCAGCCCAGATCCAGGCCACGCTCCCAAGAGCTCACCTGAGCCCCCAGTGTGATGGCAAGAAGGCTCCGTGGTACCTCGTCCCCCGCAAACGATGGTCCAGGCTGAGCACAACCCACTTCCACATGGGTCAGCTTGAGTTCTGGAAACGCCGTCTCTCCTGCTCCAGCCAGGTGACGCGTCAATCCTTCTTCCATTGCCCTTCAGGAGGGAAGCGCCGCGGTGAGGGGGAGATGGCAACTGCAATGCTGGCCACGTGGCGTGGTGCCCGGCAGGGAGGGCGGAGGCTGCGCCAGTGCCCGCTGTGCCCGCGGGGCCTCAAGACAAGGCGCTTCCTCCCGCCCTTCCCTGTCAACTCCATAGACCTTTGTTCTTCCAAGCTGTCAGAGGGAGAGGATCCGGGCTTTATCTGCGAAGGTTTCCTGCAAACTCTTTTCACAGGTAGCCGAGAGCTGACCTGTTGAGAAAACAGATGAACAGCGTGAGTCATAAAGATCCTTAAGTGACACGTTTGTGAGAGTTATTTCCAGTGAGGTCACTGCCGGTGAATTGCAAGAGCAAACTCAAGCTCGGTGCCTGGTCTCTGGGAAAACAGCTCAGAGATCCAGCCCAGGGCCACAGGCAATGAAGGTTTTCATTTTTCCAGGTCACCGAGAGATAAACACATCCACCTGAACCCGCAGCATCATAACTGGCCCTGGCGTCCTGGGCAGGAGGGATGAAGCCTGGCCAGCACACCCCTGCTCTTATGTGGCCAGATAATAAGGATGGACCCAGACACTTTATACCTCCTGGCTTCGGTTCCAAGCCCCCCAGGGGCCCTCCAAGTCCGAGGTCCAAGTTCAGTGTTTCCCCTCTGAGATCCAGGCACAGTCACTCAGACCGGAAGGATGCAGTGGGCAGACGGGCATTTGGGAGTGGGCTGAGGAGCGAGACCGTGGCCCCTTCCTCGCTCCCCTCTGCTCCACATCTGCAAATGGGCCTGTGAGTGACTGTGTCACTTTGTTGTTACTTATTCACTGGTTCGAAGGTGTCCCTGGGGCTTCCTAGGTGGCTCAGCTGTAAAGAGTCTGCCTGCCAATGCAGGAGACACCAGTTCTATCCCTGGGTCAAGAATATCCCCTGGAGAAGGAAATGGGAGCCAGTGTTCTTTCCTGGGAAATCCAGTGGACAGAGGAGCCTGGCGGGCTACAGTCCATAGGGTGGAAAAGAGCTGGCTGAGAGACTCAATAACAGCAAAGGTGACGCGGATTGACATCCGGTACTTCCGTACCATGAGCAAGATGCTCACCTGCAATGCTCTCCTATCACTTAGAACTAGTATCTGCATTTTATAGATTTTTATCCCATGTCGATTTTGTGTGTATATAATATAGAAGTGAAATCGATTTGGTAATACATTCGTATTCATTTCCAATCAATGTTGTAACACGTGACCACTAGTTCATTCCTTGTGGTTCTGTAGGTCAGACTTATAATGTGGGCATCCTTGGGATGTCCCGGGTGTTGGCAGCACTGGTTCCTTCCGGAGACTCCTGGAAGCACCTGTTTCCTTGCTCTCTGTAGCCTCTAGAGGTGGGCACCTTCTTCCCACTTCAAAGCCAGCCAAATATGCTCCCAGTTTCAAGGTCAGCTGAATAATACCCTTAATTCCACCTGCAACTGTAATCCCTCTTTGCCATGGAACCTAAGGATTAGAACTTGGACATCCTTGGAGGTCCTTGTCTGCCCAACCTGCTAGTCCTCCTAACACTGCTTCATATTTGCAGGCTGATTTTCTGGAATTTTTTTTTATTAAGAACTGCTTGTATTTCTGTACTTCCACATGACACCCTCCTCTGTACCATCACAAGGGTGTGCGTGTTATGCCTTAAGGGAGTCCCTTGGGTGTCAGGATTTCCTTCCAAGCCACCACCCCTCCACTGCAATCTTCAGGACACCTGATCAGGCAATGACCGCTGTGACGAGACCACCCTCTGGCCAACAGGCATGATAAAGGACACCCAGGCTTCAGAGAGGTTAAAAAGTAACAAAGAATCCTGAAACTGATGAAATTCACTTTTATGTTACAGTGAATATCAGAAAGTACTGCATAATTGGCATTTCAGGATAATGCAAACTCAATGAGGACAATATCATGTTCTCTATGGTCAGTGCTGTATCTCCAGTACATTAAGATTGCCTGGAGCCAAGTAGATGCACAGTAAGTATGTGCTGAATGAGTGAATGGGTGAATGGATGAATTCAATGAATTGTAACTATTATTATTCAGATAAGAGTTACTCTGAGTTATTAAGGATATTAAATGAGATCACACTGGCAAGTTGTCTCATAAAGGAAGCTCTTGAAAAGTAAGTGCCTCCTCCTCTTGCCTCCAGACTGGACAGCAGGACACAGTGATTGACCACACAGTCCCCAGGCCCTCACGTGGAGGGCGTGCAGTCAGGGGTCTGAGTGAAGGGGTGGGGAGATGGGTGGATGGATGGGTGGGTAGTTGTCACCATAAAGAAACGGTAGTTGTTGGGGCCTCTGAGGTTTGTGATGCTTTTGGTGGGTCCTCCAACATGAAGGATTATGTTTCCTGGGATCTTCCTCCCTGGGATTCTTGGTGTCACAGCACATGCTCTTGGAATAAAGGCTCATTGTTGCCATCATGAGATGAGACAAGAAACATAGTAAGACTGGTCCAGTTACTGTGGAAAACAGTATGGAAGTTTCTCAGAAACCTAAAAACAGAACTACCATATGACCCAGCAATTCCACTCCTGGCTAGATATCCAAAAGAACACAGAAACAGGCGCCCTAATGTTCATTGCAGTGTTCTACGGACATGAGTTTGAGCAAGCTCTGGGAGCTGGTGATGGGCAGAGAAGCCTGGCGTGCTGTAGACTGCGGGATTGCAGAGTCGGACACAACTGAGCAACTGAACTGAACTGCACTGATGTTCATTACAGCATTGCTCATAGCAGCCAAGATACGGAAGCGACCTAAGTGTCCGTCAACGGATGAATGGATAAAGAAGGTGTGGTTCATGTATTTCATATTCAGTTCACACACACACAACAAAATCATTCAGCTCTAAGAAAGAATGAAATCATGCCATTTGCTGCAACATGGACGGACCTGGAGATGATCCTACAAAGTGAAGTAAGTCAGACAAGACAAACATCGTATGATATCTCATATACAGAATCTAAGAATGAATACAAATGAACTTATACAACAGACACAGGCCCACAGACATGGAAAAGAAACTAGAGTCAGGCACAACTGAAGTGGCTTAGCACGAACACATGCACCACCATACATAAAATAGATAAATATTTACAATCTACTATACTGCACAAAGAAAGCTGAGTGCTGAAGAACTGATGCTTTTAACTGTGGTGTTGGAGAAGAGACTCTTGAGAGTCCCTAGGACTGAAAGGCGAGCCAACCAGTTCATCTTGAAGGAGATCAGTCCTTAATATTCGTTGGACGGACTGATGCTGAAGCTGAAACTCCATTACTTTGGCCACTTGATGTGAAGAGCTAACTCATTGGAAAAGACCCTGATGCTGGGAAAGATTGAAGGCAGGAGGAGAAGGGGACGACAGAGGAGGAGATGGTTGGATGGCATCACCGACTCCATGGACATGAGTTTGAGTAAGCTCTGGGAGTTGGTAATGGGCAGGGAGGCCTGACGTGCTGCGATTCATGGGGTCGCAAAGAGTTGGACACGACTGAGCAACTGAACTGAATTGAATACAGCACAGAGAACTCTACACAATATTCTGTAATAACCTACAATTAAAAAGAATCTGAAAAAGATATTATTTTTCAGATTTATGTATTTGAAACCACAACATTGTAAATCAACCATACCTCAATAAAAAAAGAAGAAAAGATGCCAGTGGAGCTTGCACAGCTCTGGACGGCAGATAAATGTTTAGATAACTTCATGCTGTCTTTCCTTCCTATCAGCTCTCAGCTCTCAGGCTAAGAATGACTCCTGAGGCAAAACGCTCTCCTTGTGCTTTTCCTGCTTAAAGGCCCCTCTGTCACTAACAGTGTCTATTAGCCAAGTGTAAAACATTGGTGCACTTTGAGGCCCCAGCCTGGAAAGGTGGACACCCCATTCTGCGTCCTGGGTCTGCACCCTTGCTAAGTTGCATTTCTGTGAAGTCTTATGTGGGGTTTGCCGCTGGAAACTTCAGGCATTTTCTCACAGAAAGAAGGATGCAAGACCTGTTGGTCTATGACAGGGTCTGTTCCTTCAGACACGGCTCTTCCTGGAAAGGGACCCCTGGGGTCCAGGGGAGATGGTTGTGCTGGGAAAACTTCCCGGCCCATCCTAATTCGAAACCTTGCTCTGTGGGCAGAAAAGGAGCTCAGAGCTGTTGAAAGGCGACTGAAGATAAACAGGAAGCTCAGGCTTAATTGCAGGACAACATATTAAATGCAGCTCCTTTTATTTTTAGAACTTCATTCTGGGGCCTGAAACTTTGAACGCCAATGAAGGAAACTACTCGCGTTTCCAAGAGGGTGGTGACCTTCAAAGCTCTTTTTCCAGGGGGAAGAAATTTAATTTAATCCTGTCTTCTGGTATTTGTTCATGTTAGATTACATTAAATGAGTTATTTTTAATCATTGTTCATAAATCACAGCCAAGATGTGCCTTGAGGCACAGGGCATTTGCATAAAAATATTAATTGCCGCTATCTCTCCTTTTGGGTTCGTGGGAAATAAGATGGATGGGCAGCAATGGCGGGCGTGGGCTGTGGGTACCGCGAGGGACGAGGATGGGACGAGGGAAGCATCTTCCCTGGTGGTCTTGTTCGGCTCAGAACCTCAGGATCCTCTTGAGATGTCTCCTCCACCGAGCGTAGCCCACCCTGATTTCTCTGGGCCCAAGTCCTGTTCCCTGCCCTGTTACCTGCGAGCCGTGACCAGCCTCTCTTAGGAAACGTGAATGCTCTCTGTGGTTCAGTCACCCACGGCCGTGTGCTCGCCTGGACCAGGAGCGCCCTGCCTGGGACACACGGCAGAAGAGGTTGCTGCTCAGCTGACAGAGCAGGCAGAGGAGGCCGGGCGGGAGTCCCTTCCCCTCCTGCCCCTGCTGCCTGCGGGCCGGGGCCCCTTAGCAGATGTTCATCGCACAAGGCGTTTCAGCAACCTCTTCACGTTGTAAAGCGGGCTTTCTCGGCAGCCTCTCCTTGTGTGCGGATGTATATACACTCAGAGGGACAGGGCCTGCCGCTCTCCCACGCTCCTGGCCACAGGTGGGATCAGCTGGGATTTGACGTCCTGGTCATCGCGGAGAAGCCCTCTCGCTCTCCCATGCGCTGCCCCTCCCGGCTGTAGGCGGGCTCCTGAAGTCGAGGCCCGTGCCCGCTTCTGCACATCTCTTACGTCAGCTGCCCTCGCCCCGTTCCTGCCTCCCACTCACGCCCTGTCCTTGAGCTCAGGCTACGGTTTGGCCCCCGTGCTTTTTGAGAAGAGTGTTGCTGTGAGGACCTCCCTCCACACCCTCGCCCTCCGGCCTCCTCCTGGCTTCTCCCTGCAGCCTCTGCCTCCCCACCCGGATGTGGCCGGACCAGCCTGCGCTCAGCCCCCTCTGAGCCCCTGCCCAGGGGCACTGGCATCCTTCACCCACCTGTCTGTTCACTCCTTCAGCAACAGCGGCACAGCTTCAAGTGCTAAGGAGGATGCTGGACGGTGTCACCACACCACGGGCAAGGGCTGGGACGGAGGACGCCCTGGAGGCCTCAGTTCAGTTCAGTCGCTCAGTCGTGTCCGACTCTTTGTGACCCCACAGACTGCAGCACGCCAGGCCTCCCTGTCCATCACCAGCTCCCGGAGCTTCCTCAAATTCATGTCCATTGTGTCTGATGCCATCCCACCATCTCATCCTCTGTCGTCCCCTTCTCCTCCTGCCTTCAATCTTTCCCAGCATCAGGGTCTTTTCCAATGAGTCAGTTCTTTGCATCAGGTGGCCAAAGTATTGGAGATTCAGCTTCAGCATCAGTCCTTCCAATGAACACTCAGGACTGATCTCCTTTAGGATGGACTGGTTGGATCTCCTTGCAGTCCAAGGGACTCTCAAGAGTCTTCTCCAACACCACAGTTCAAAAGCATCAATTCTTCAGCGCTCAGCTTTCTTTATGGTCCAACTGTCACACCCATACATGGCCACTGGAAAAACCATAGCCTTGACTAGATGTTTATTTCCCCCCACCTTGGGTGTTGATGAGACCCCATCTCACCCCTATTTCCTGATGCAAACTAGGACATCAGATCACATACCTGGGGCATCGGGTGCCCCCCCAAAGCGCAGGGAACTTCCTCCTGACTCATACAGAAGACTCTGGAATTCCCAGCTCTCCAACTCCAACAGGGTCACTGAGAGTCAAGCTGAGCAGTGTGGTGAGTCAGAGCAGGACCTCTGCCAGGAGCGGGTCCCCTCTGCTGACATATGTTTGGAAAATTCTGAGCCCGACAGCTGCCGCCCATGCAGGGCTGCTCTGAGCTTTTCAGATGCTCACGTGTGTCGTGAGGTCCCCACACGGGTGCAGAGGCAGCTCGTTATTTCCCTGGTTTTGTTGCTGTTTGTGTGACTCACAGCCCTCACTTCAGCACCCACAGGACTGGTCTGACATGACAGAATCACACAGTGAGCAGGAACACACGAGGTGTCCAGGCCCCAGGCCGAGCCCTTGAGGGGTTTGCTCTCACCTCTTAGATTCTGCTGAACCTCTGCAGTGAAGGGGGGCAAGCTGAGGTGCATAGGGGCCAGGCACCTGCTGCAATGACGGCGAGGTCCAGAGCTGAGCCCACAGCCATGGACCCCCACGCTCTTGTCCCCACATCTCAACCTCGTGGCCCCTGAACCTGACACGATGGGGCTTTGTTGTCCTGCCAAGGGCAGAGTGCCTCACCGGGCCCTGCTGTCCAGAGAGAAATTAGCACATTTGCTGGAATCCACTGATGCTCTCTGCTAATGAACTCTTTTCATTAAAAAAAACTCCGGTTTTTAACCGGAGTACCCCCACCAGTGCTGGGCTGAGCCCAAGAACCTCATCCCAACACAGAAGGCAGATTATTGTCTGATGACCAAAGGTTACGATTTCAGCCTTCACTGTTTCCCTGTATCAAGACCAACACACTCTACAGAAATCGTGGTCACACGTGGGCAGGTGCTGGGCACGCTGCAGAAAGTGTGTCTGGTCAAGACGCAGATTGGCCGAGAAGGAAACACACAGGGCGAGGAGAGTGTGGACGGCCCAGCTGCACAGGCTTGCCCACTCTCCAGACACAGCCTGATCTGTAGTGTGGTCCCATATCCACGGTGTGAATGTTCCACGGTGGCTGAAGGTGTGTCTCTTGTGGCATCACCAGACATTGCCACTGGCTCTCCTAGGCTGGTACAAGCCAGCTTCTGCACCCACCAGCTATAGCATCTGCAGCTGTTATCACCACCTTCTCGTTCTTCTCTTTATTCATTTGTGTATTTTGGCAGCAAGAGAGTTGTTCAAGGTGACAGAGATTGTGTTGCCATTGGGAGTCCACTGGCAAGGTAAAGACAACCTCAAGATTCCAGGGCTGTTATATATTTATTTTAAGACTGGAAAAGCAGCCTGACAATCTGAACTACGTTGTAAAAGTTTTTGTAAGTATAACTCAAAGAGGTCATTGACAGTAAATGCAAGATATCAAACCAGAAGGACTTTGGTTAGAGCAGACTTAGATTATCCTCGTGTGATCCCAAGCACCGAAGAATTGATGCTTTTGAACTGTGGTGCTTGAGAAGACTCTTGAGGGTCTCTTGGACAGTGAGGAGACCAAACCAGTCCATCCTAGAGGAGGTCAGCCCTGATGGAAGGGCTGATGCTGGAGCTGAAGCTCTCATACTCTGGCCACCTGATGCAAAGAACTGACCGTCTGAAAAGACCCTGATGCTGAGAAAGATTGAAGGCAGGAGACGGGGACGACAGAGGATGAGATGGCTGCATGGCATCACTGACGCCATGGACTTGAGTTTGAGTGAACTCTGGGAGAGGAGCCTGGAGTGCATCCATCTATGGGGTCACAAAGAGTTGGACTTGACAAAAACAGCAACCTTGAGATCCCAGGTGGGAAGCAGGGAGTGGCTGAATCTGACCAAAACCATGAGGGTCCAAAAAAACCAAGTATTTCAATTTTCTTCTGTTTCAATTTTGCTATTTTATTTATCTGCTCATTTATTTATCCATCACTGTTGCATTCTCTCTGCCCACCAGGAGCTGTTAGGCACTGTGATTGGGAGCTGGGGAAAGCAGACCTCTCATGCTTCCTGGAGCTTGGATTCGACATCTGCCTGTGTCTGGGGTATTGAGTTGGTACCCTGCTTTTTAATGAATCTTAGAACTACAATTCTGACTTCACCATAAATCATCTTAAATGCTTTTTGTTCATATCCATATTACGAAGTTAGACTATACCTGGTGGTCATTCTGCCCTCCTTGGTGTTTGATTCTGATGAGACCTCAGCACCTGTTTGATTCACTGGAGGCAGGTTGCCCAAGCTGGCCTTTGAGCTCTGAGTGGTCCAGACTGATGAGAAAGTCTTATCATGTCTGGGATGCCTGTGTTGTTTCATCACATCTGGGCGAGGGGCGTGGAGGTGGGTGTAGGCTGCCCTGAAAGGATCTGCTGAGGAGGAGAAAGCAAAGGTCATCAGGGCTGGAAGAATGGCCCACCCCCCGACCCAGGAGAGGAGAGATTCTGTGTCTACCACTGCAGTAGGAAGGAAACAGGGAGAAAGGTAGCTTTGAAGCAGAATTCAGTCCAAGAAGATGGGATGGGATGGGGTGGAGGAGAGTCATCCAACAGGGGGATCAGAACAAGGTCCTGTTTATGGGGAGAGCTCTGGAGAGCCACAGCCAGCCGCTCACTCTGGTCACAGCACAGAGCCCCCCCCCCCCCAAGGACCCCAGGAAGCCTCTAGATGCTGAGAAGTTCACTCAGAATGAGGCTGAATGTAGGGAGGATGGATGATTTGAAATCCAAGACTGGTTTCATGCGCAGGCCTGCGGCTCATGACCTGAAGAACCAAGGAACCATTCCTCCACCTCTTTGTCCATGTCCAGCTAAGTCAGCCTCAGGGGCCACGGGGTGGGGCGGCTTCTTGGTCTCCAGGCCACGAGATGGACTCCCCAGTCAGGAACTCCCCACAACCGGAGGTGTGGCCCCCAGGCCTGTGGGCTCTGGTGGGTGTTCAGAGAGACAGAGGCAGCCCCTCGGGACGGCTGGAAGCGAGGTGGAGGGCGCACGTCCCCGTAGAGCCCCTCGACAGCTCACCGACCACCGACCCCTTCTTTTTCAGACAGCAATGCCAGGTCCTTCCTACAGGCGGGGGGTGGGGGGCCCCTCAGGACACCCCACAGCACTTTCGGGCTAGCACGGCTGAAAGAAACCCAGAAGTAAGGTCATTTTCTCTGGTCTCTTGACCCAGACCCTGTGATGTCTGAAATGCTCGAAGGAAACAACGTACCTAGAGGGGCAGGGAGAGGGGCTGCCTTTGGATGGTCTGCCAACAGAAGGCCCCCGTCCCTCTCCACCCGGCCCAGGGGCCCGGGTCAAAGGTCCCAATCCACGCCCGGAGCCACTCACTGGAGAGGCCAGTACCGGGGCCGCACGTGGGTGTCAGAGGTGGTGCTGGGGGTCTACACACAGCACTTCGCTGGAGATCCTGCCTCCTGTCCCAGGAAATGTCTTTTGTTTTTCCAGGCAGAGGAACAAAATCATATGATGAAATAATCGTCCTGATAATTAACCTGTTTTATCAGGAGAGATAAGAAAACATCCAAGGGCCATGTATTAATAGCACTAATATTTAGTACTGGAAAAAAAAAAAAGCTGTTTATTGCGGCAGCCAGGCCTGAGGATGGGGCTGGTCCCTCTAACTGACGCTCTGCTGGGTTTGGATCCTCTCTGTGGGGAGCCGGGGAACATTAATTACCCTGCACCCCGGCCGACACCAGCTCCCAAACACAAGACTTTCTTCCCAGATGGTTCCTCTCTGCCAGCCTCTTCCTGGTAGATGTTATTACATTTCTGATGAGTCAAGTAGATTTTCTGCAGGCATTAAATTTTTAGTAAACAGACCCAAATTAACAGCTATTTATGACATTTCACTCCGGGGATCAAATCAAAAGCACCCGCTTCATATATAAATATCTCTCCTTCTCTGCTTTTAATGAACGGATATTATTTTTGTTGTTGTTGAAAGCAGAATTAGACAGATGCCCTGCTCCTCCCGGCTCCCTTGTCATGCGGGCTCTGTCCTCCAACTGAGAGCGCGCGCCTTTAGGAAGCAAAGGCATAAGCACCTTAATTTTCCATAATTCAGTGAAACAAGGCGTACTTCTGAAATCCCCCTTGCGAGGAGCTGTGTTCTCATACACATTAATGGGCTGCGTTTGGATGAAAACAATTTAGCCTGTCCTAATGTCATCAGTGGGGCACTACGGGTTCCCAGAACCTGATCTGGGAGCTGGTCTTTTCATTATTCTTGATGTTGTGTGGCGATCAAGCAGTGTCCATCTCTCTGAGTGACCTTGCTGGTGGCAGCGTCGCGCTTAGCGCTAATGAGGATGGCTTCACGATCCAGGGATGAAAGGGCTGGTGGGGGTGGGGGTGGGGTTGGGTACAGCAGCTGTGAGCATGCATCGGCTTCC